GCCTAAAGGGTGAAAGATGACTGGCTGGTGCTGGCCGTGGACCGGGTCTAGATTCGGATCGTTGGGGAGGCCTTGATGCGAGATGGTCGCAACTACCCGTGTCGGCAAGTCACACTGCACCTGGCAAAGAAGGAAGGGAAAATGGGGATTGAAATACCCATTTCCCTCGTTGAGTGCCTCTTTCTTTCTTCATGCATCCCAAACAAGCGATCCGACGTTGGGAAGGCTTCTCCAAAAGCGAACACGTATGCGTGTCGGCATGGGCAATTGACCGAAATAACGTGAAGAAGGATGGGATCCTCGGGGGCGAAGATCTCGATCTGGAAGTCCGGTCTACATTCTTCGGATGATGTGATGATTGATTAGGATGGGAAAGCTTGGGACGGGCGAAGACACCACGAGGGACGAAAGTGTTTCTTTTTGCACTTCCAGGGTGTGCCAGAGATATTCGGAAGCGAGGAAGGGCGCAATGAAGGGTCTCGGCCCGAGACCTCCCCCCTCATTCATTCAATTCCCATGTTTGCTCAGTACTTGCTATTTGCTTTGCCATCCATTATCTTTCTTCCCGTGATGGAGGGGGAGTGGCTATCAGCCCATTGTCCTGTCCCTTGCCTCATCCCGTCTTCCATATCATACCACGCCTGCGAGCTGAATGTCTTCACCGGCCCCTACCTGCCTTAGTCCCCTCATCCCGCGCGGAGTCCCAGCATCCTGAAAAGATGTGACCGAAACGACGATCACTCATGTCTCGACACATGGCTAGCTGAACGGGGCTCCCGAAGTGTAAGGCCAGCCGAGAGGGAAATCTGCCCAACTTTGTCCAGTCTACCTATGCCTGTTGGGCCCCCAATGAGCGGTTTGTATCCACCATCCACGTGAGCTATGGGTATTCCCGATGTAAAAACGACCTCTGTGGATGGGGAAAAAAGAAAGGAGGATGCGGTAGACAGGAGAAGACGTGCTTTGGGGTGGGATGGATGGCATTGCCGGCAATGGTACGGATAGGTTTTGACGGTTTGCGAGACACGGGCGACGGTGTTTGCTTTTTTCGCCCTTTTTGGTCACATAGGTCTGGAACGTTCGTGTCACATCGTGAGAGATGCAGTGATGGGGTTTGTGCTATCTTGGCTACATGTTTGCTTCCGGTTTTCTTGGTGATTCCCGGTAAGGGGGGGACTGAGGCGTTGAGGTATTGAAGAATTGCGTGATGTTTGTGGCCAGGTTACGCGTACGTCTCACTGAATCGGTCTCGAATTCTCCTTCTCCTGGGTCGGTGAGATTTTGGTGTTCATCCGGGTGATCGGCTTCGTGAGAGCCTTCAGAAGAGTCACAGGTATCGCCGTCCTGAACATGCACACCAAGTTCTCCAAGTGAGTCTCAGACGTCATCAGGCGACGCCTTTTCCAAGACTCGGCAATAAATCATGCATTTCTTGCCCCCCTTTTCACACCTCTCAGCCCGAGCATGCCATTTTGAAAAGCGCCTTCGACCGTTACGTGGTTTGGTAGTCATGCGATGGCGTCAAATCTTCCAGCGTTGGAAAGACATTTTGAGGGGCATGTTTTTGGGACACGGAAGCCCAATGAAGAAAACCCGACACTCTCCCTTCCAGTAGTGATTGGGTCGGACTTCGTATAACGGGACAAGTCCCGCCAGATTTCCCCGTTGCTGTGCGTGCGGCTGAAGACTTTCGAAGGGGGGCTGGCTACTGTGAGTCAACGGTCCTCGCGTCTGGCTGAGAGTGAAGGGCTAGTGCAGTGGTAGGAAAATAAGACGTTTTACTCCGCGATCTTGGCAGTAGATAGGGGCAATGGAGTTAAGCATAATCCTACTGGGGAAAATCTCATGACTATAGTTTGATAATGGTCTACGCGACATCGACGAACCTTTTCTTGGGGGGGTTGATGTCGGCTCCGGTCATATGATGAAGGTTTTCCTCGTCCATGCTCGGGACTGTAGCGGGATTTCAATCAATCATGCTCAATCGTTCTGCCAATCCTCAGGTTCTAAAATGACGTACACACTTTTGAGGAATCACGCCATTCTACACCCAGCCAGTAATTGAAGAGATATCCGGCACATAATTTACATTGGCTACAAAGTTTTGGAATTCTTCGCACCTAAGGTTGAAGCACCTTTTGATGTTATTACTTATTGGGTGTCAAATGGATGCACGGTACGCGCGCGCTCAGGTTGGGGGAAGTGAAGCCCAAAACGTCCTGTCCCGTCTAGCAATCGTACGACACGGAGCCTACTGTTTCGTTTTCTGAGGACGTTGGATGTTGGATTGCAAAGCACTACATCAAGTGTGCACACAGATGTTGGTCTACATGTTCCTGTGCGTGTACCTTGGATGTACTCTAAACACTTTAATACCTTTTCATCACCTATTGATGAACTTGCACCCTGGACCGTTATATTGGACCATGACAGATAATATAACTCCATTATACAAGAACGTTGCGTTTGACTGCACTCAGAAAGCACCGCGAAGCTCATGAAAAGCAGCCTCAACTGGATTACAACCGAGGCCTGGCACTCGTTGCAATTAGAAGGATATCAAAAGCTGCATCAATGCCACAGTGGGTCAAAATATGATCATTTTACGCAGTAGTGGTCTCTATTCTCAGGCCTAATGAAAGCTGTCATGAAGTCATTTTATACCTCCCCACCACTCTACGTTTCCACCATCCTTCGAATCCCCGGCGTGGTTATCAAGACTCCAACATGAGGTGTAACTACTCGTGGAGAATGGGAACCGCTTAAACAGAGAAAGGCTTATAAGCATGTGCATTCACCCGGAAGATCGTCATGACTGGGAAGACTCGAGATCGCTTACATGGCGAAGCACTCTCCAACCATGTCCGGCGCACCTCACATGAACTTGTTTAGCCATCCCTAATCCACATAATCGTCGGAGATGATTGACCAAAGAATCACCAGGACTCTGCCGCATCGCCTTGTAAAGTTCTTCTGGCTTCTTTAAAACATCACTTTATCTCGAATCCTGCAGTATTCCGCATTCACGTACACCGTAGTCACTGCCACTTGACGAGACGTGAACACATCGTCCTTGAGAATGGGCTCGTCGCTCTGAGAACAGATGTGGCTGCCCGGCCAATCTTCGTGTACTTGAATATCCAGCTGCATTTGTACTTCTGCTGCATTTGCCATGCATCTCGTCCGCTGGGTGTGTTGGGCATCCTTTTTTCCCCCGTCGGCTGCCCGACCCCTTGCGTCGATCCTCGCTGCCCATCGCACGGGAAGAAAATCGTGAGATGCCTAACACTCTCCCCTTTCCTCGCAATTGTCCGTCATCTCCGTCACACAAAAAGTCTTGCATTGCTTTTAATTATGTTCAGTGACTTGCTTGTAGACTGAACTTTGCCTTGGGCTTAGTCCACGAGACATACTTGCGTCTGATGAAGTTCTTCCAGGCTCATTCGAGTAGCCATACCTTCATTTTACTTGCTCCCCTATTACCTACTAATTGAAGAATGAGGCCAATCTGAATGCTCCCAAGTCCTACTGGCTGTCATCGGATGATAAAGCATCGTCCACTGTGAAAGACCCTATCAGATACACATGTATGAGATCGGATATGGGATTTGAGCCCTGAAGACATTGTCAATCTGTCACTGACCTTCAGTAGTAGGTCACGATGAAGTCTTATGAGACAGTGTGGCATGAAATTCATTCCTATAACCTCTGCAGCGCCACATTCCCCAACTTCAAGCCACCAGTATGGCTTCTGTTCTGGCCAACGCCAAGTCTCAAATAACACCACACAAAGTTTGCCCAACCTCGTGTTTGGTTGAGAGCGTTCTTCTCATATTATAATTCATGCCCAATTGACTGGTCCAGGCAACGCCAGCCACTCCCTGAGCCCAGATCTACTTCGTCTGTTGCTGGCAGGGAGTTTCAATACAGGAATCTACTGGCATTTTACCACAAGCTGTAAACATTCCTCTTACAATCTAAGCGGCTGATTAAGGGCCCGAAATGTCACTGCCGTCGCCTTGGGGCCTGGCTGAACGAGTCAAATGTATGGTACTACCTGGAAGGGAGTCACCGCCGCTTCTGAGATATTGTGGCAGGTAGATAGCTGGCACGTGCGACGGGCAAAAGAAATGATACGAGGCCTAGCCAGCCATCTCGGGGCCTCTCTACGCGCACTCCTCCGACATAACCTTTCACTTGGTTCCGTTGCGCCCTTCGAATAATAAGAAGGATTCGAGCGCGATTGCTTGCCGCCTACCGCATTCCCGGCATCGTCCGCGAAGTGCTCTTCAAGATACTCAAGAACTGGTTCTTTAGACATACTATCTTGATGTCTGCGAAGATTGAGGGCGGTAAGTTTTCAGCCACCCTTGAGCCACCACGCTGCTGTCACCGACCGATGGGAAGGTGGCGCCACAAACCTCGCCAAGCCAAAGGCGCAGGCTATGCCACACGTGGATTTGGTTCCAAGAAGTCGGTAATTGGCTTCGGTAAGCGTGGGTCAAGGTAGGAATCGCCAGAAAGAAAATCTAACGCCTTCTGAGTTGGCTTTATTTGGTGAACCGCTTGCGGCATTTTTGGCCACGCACAGTCAATAAGCTGACATTGTTTGCAAGTGCCGACCTGAAGAAAGAGCACCATCCAGACCCGTTCTTGGCATGTAAGACAGGCAGACTTCTAGGTAGCAGACGGCAATTGCTGGTAGGTGTTCAACTCCGAGCATCAAGCTTTTTCATGGACGGAACTAGGTAGAAAGGCGAGCTTTCCATGGCTACCACACGAGTATTAAAATCTCACGTTGTCTTCGCTTCAACGTTCGTTTTCTTGGCACTTCAATCCATAACTCTGACACCAAAAGTCATCACGGGCAAAACCAGCACATCCTCAAGATCTTTGCCAGAATGACGCTTTCTCGCACCTCACTAGTCACTTTAGTGACTGTGATGACCTTGGCTCGATACTGCGAAGCCGGAATGCAAGTTATGCTGCCAATCATCAATATGGCCAACGTCCCAGTCACCGTCGACATGGATTTGGGGTCTAATTGCCTCCAAGATCCTAGCGATTACTCAACAGACGACCTCATCTCCTACTACGCTGCCTACAGAACGACAAGCCTCACCGACTCCTTTGGCTCTGACTTTAGCACCTACCAAGACTATTTAGACTACTACAAAAAGGTTACGCAAATCGGCGACATCGGGTCGGCTTTGGCGAATATGGATGGACAACATACCCTTGACGCCTACAACCCTGATGAGAGCCTGAGCCCAAGCTTTCTCACATTCCAAACTGAGATTGACGGTGGCCTCTTTGACGGCTGCATCGGGTCGCACTCCTCCAAGATGTTCAGCCTGGACGTCGATGGCACCAGTTACCAGATCACGCTGGAAGACCCGCCAGCATCGCAATGGACCATCACCCAGGACTCGCCCGGTGACCCAAACCGCATCGTCATCGGATCAGGCGGCCGCGCGAACCCGCTTTTGACGGTCCTCTACGCAGTGTTGGGAGTTGAAGTTCTTGCTCTCGCTGGTGCCGTCCTCGGATCTGCCCTTGGAGGTCTGGCTCCCGCCGCTGTGGAGGGAACCATCGCCGAGATGGGAACTTCCGAAATGACCCAGATCATTGAGGACAAGCTGGCCAGTGACCCGTGGGTCATGCAGTGGATGGAAAAGACGATTTTCGGAGAAACAGAGGCAGCAGCCAAGAAGCGCGCGTCCCCCATTGCTCGACGTGGCGTTGGTGCGGGAGGTATTCTCCAGGAGTGGACGGCTGCGTATGACACGTGAAATTACGATGATAGGGATGCTTGTGTAATGAGCAAAGACGTAATCGGCGAGTTGGACTGTCTCGTAGTTGGAACTTCGATTGTCATTCAGGCTGATGGCCAGCCCATGGCTATGCCTCTTCCACCTCTTGGGTCGGCTTGGTAGACTCTGAAGCAGATGAAAAGGTTGTTCAGCGCTGGATACTATTTTCATGCAATCTCCGATACCACATAATCCACCAACTAAAAGTGTGAAAGATATCGCATTATTAATTTATCACAAGGTTTTAAAAAGCTGATTGAACAGAATGTCAATAGGCTCCGAACCTATGCTTGGATACATTCTGTATAACGATGCTTAGAAGATAGTACAAAGTGATGCAGCTTTGTGGAACATGTACACACGTTGCCGCTGACTACCATGTCAATGAAGGAGGCAAAGAAGTTGGTGAGCTAAGACAAAGTCTCTCCGTCTGCTTTGAGGACACTTTCAGAAAAGCTTTCAACTGAATACTTTGCGTGAAACGAAGTTGAAAATCCAAGCTCTGCTATCTTCGAACCATATAGTAAGACCTCAGACTATGACCTCGTGAATTTTGGGATATCCAACCAGGTGCTGTCTGAGCAATCTCCAAGGTACCTTGATAATAGCTTGGAGGAGAAAAAGGTATATTTCTAGCTGAAAGCATAGTCTAACGAAAGTATGAGTGTGGACATTGAGGTACCAAACAACGGAGATAGCGATACAATTATGTATACCCAGCTACTTGGCTTGAACAGTCTCAGCACAGGATTTTGACGACCATCTGTGCAACCTGCCGATCACGATACAGTTTTCATACACGCCTTAAATCAATCAACCATTCGAAGTCTAGATGCCTCGCAAGAGTCGCAATAAGAGGTCAGGACCAAAGCGTCTTGGACAAAAAGCGGACAACCACGACCTCGAGCCGGTGTCCCAACATCTTGGACAGGAGGCAAGCAAGAGTGAGCTCCGCTCTGATGATGCGGTGGTCGCACCACATCTCCCAAATGAGTTGAAGTGGGAAATCATTGGCTTTGCCATTGAACAGGCCAAGGCTTCCGCTAAGCCAGCTTCCTGGACACTGGAAATAACACGCCGCAAGTATGTGGGCGACACGCCCGCACAATTCTTGATCGACACTTGGTCGGAGTGGGAGGCAAGGAAAACAGCGAAAGATCGTTTCAGACATTTTCTAAACCTCCTACATATAAACAAATACTGTCGCCAGCTAACGGAAAAGGCTCTCCGCCCTTTTAAGCTTCCATGCCGAGACATACCAAATTCATTCACCTGGGTCTTCCCACGTATTGACACCTTCTTCTTACACCCGGGACACTATAAGGATGCGGTTTGGACTACGCTTTACGCACCGAACGCCGAGTGTTCGAGGCTCTGGGCCCATGTCGAGAAAGTCATATTTTCTGCGGAATATCCCGATGAACGGATAGATATAAATCATACACAGTTCCTCGCGCTGGCCCGGTTACCGAACTTAAAGTCGTTACACCTAGACTATGCATCTCTCAAACACGAAATCAAAGTACGGCACGAAAACGTCAAAAACGAACCGAACTATGTCCTGCTCGACTGTAGAAATGGGACTTATTGGGGAATTTATTGCATACCTCGAACAATGGATTTCTTCGACGATCTTAAAAACAAAGGGGTACGGATAACAGTAAGTTTCAAAAGCCAACATCTGAACGCAGGGTTCGCCCACATCAAACCGCATGACTGACCCGTACATATAGCTGTCGAATTAGAGATTTCACGGCTAGAAGTTTCCTTCGTGATTCATCGTAAATGTCTCTGTCAGAGTCATACGGCTACCCGCAGGCGGTAAACTGCTGTGTGAAATTATGAAAAAGTCTAAAGGGAAATGGGAAGGTGTCACGGTAGTGCAAGCGTGACTGGGAGACAGCCGTCTTACAGGCGATAGGCCCCGAAGCCCCGAGATGGTCTTAGAATGTGACCAGGCAGGAATTGAAAAGGTTGACATCTAAATGTAAACTCCAAGTGGAAGAAAGGCTGGACATTCTGTGACGAGGACAACGAAAATTTAGCAACTATTCCAACCGGAGAACACGAATTTCAATATTGGGAACCAATGATCTGGGAAATGTGCGTGCCACCATTGAAAGACGCTATATCTATGTTGGGATTGACATCTATGTTGGGATTATCGTTCGCCGTCTGGGTATCTGTCTTCATCTCATCGTTTCGTTTTCTCTGTCCATTTGTCTCAGTCATCCTCAGCAGCCAGGGCAAGTCTCTCTCGGATCATCGTAGTGAATCCATCGCCATCCTTCACGTTGCTAACGGCGACCGTCTTGTCTCTTGACTTGAGCCCCTGAGTGATGGTCAGGTCAGACTTTGGAAGTCCTAGGACCTGGATTATGTTAGCACAATCTCATCAAAAAGTCATATTTATAGTAATCATTGGAAAACAAGCCCGGATAATCTGCTTACTTCACTAAGCAGCTTCAGAACTGCCTTGTTCGCTTCGCCTTCTCGGGCCTGCGCTGAGACGCACAGCTCGACGGTCGCGTCGGTCACGGCCGTGACGCCCTCGCGAACTCGAGACGCACCCGGCTTAACGTGGCATTGTAGGTAGAGGGTTCCAAGGGGAGATTTCTTGGTTCCTGCGACGAATCGAATTGCTGTGCTCGCCATGGCGTGAGGTGATTTGACGACCCGAACTAGGTAAAGTTTGAGTGAGGTGTTGTGGGTCAGGTTGTGGGGAAGTTGGTGGGTTTGGATGACGAATCCTAAACTCAGGCCTCCGAAGAACGCTATTGGCGCCTGTACTTGCAAGCGAGCACCGTCAGAACTTTGAATGCATCTTGCTGCCCACTGACGAATGTGACCCAGTTTCAGGTGCAAATAAATTAAACCGCCAACAGAGGGGGATAAGACAGTGATAGTTGACATAACTTTGCCGATCAATAAGCTTAACCCCAACTTCAAGTGTTGCTCTGCAACCTCTCACTACCTGACTTACTGCGTCATATTACGTCGAAGGGAATCAGAGACTTCATGTGTCTTATTCTCTATGTAGTAGTGAAATGTCTGTGTTCATGATTCAATCTGGTATTTCCATCGCCGCTAGACATTTGATTCGACTTTTCCAACCTGTTTTCGCTAGTCGCTAGTAGTAAAAGAAATTCAGTGTTTACAAAGAAGCTTGCTGTTGGGACTGGCGCCCGACGCTGGGGATGTAAGTCTCCTTCTTGGGAGGAAGGGTGCGCAGCTCCTTATCCTGGAGCTTGGCGAGGCGGTTCTCAGCCATCATTCTCTTGGTGGTGATTCTCTCAGGGTAGTTCCTGAGGAACATGTTTGTGAAGTGGGTGCCGTAGTGGATGCCCTCCTTGGGAGACTGACCGACGTCGTAGCCGGGAAGGGGCTTGGCGACGGCCTGGAAGCTGGGCTCGTGGAAGTAGGCGAAGGCGAAGCGATCACGAGTGTTCAGGCCGACCTTGTGGGGGGTGGAGGGCAGATAGGAGTTCGTGATGTACTGCATGATGTCGCCAGGGAAGACGGTGAAGACGTTGGGGACGGGAGGGACGTAGTGCCACTTCTCATCGTCTTCCTTCATGCCGGCCGCACTCTTCTCCCAGTTGGCGTAGTGCTCACCATCATAGGGAGGGCGGATGAAGAGGCCTGCAAGTCATGTTAGAATGTCGTGGCGAGATATACATCGGGTTGTATAAACTTACCACCAACGTCGTCCTGGGCGGCAATAACGAGCAGACCGTAGTCAGTGTGGGAACCAATACCACGGCCCTCCTTGCCCTTGCCGTTGGTGTTGTGCGTGGGAGGGAATCTGTGACCGAGTCAGCAAATGTTCTTGGAGTAAAGTGGTACCCATCGTGGGGTGTGGCTCACCTAAGGATACGCATGTGGTGCCATCCGTCGGCAGTCAGGTTGGTCAAAGATCCGGCGGGGACGTTGAGACCAAGCTCCGTAAGCTGGAGAAGCTTCTCTCCACTTTCACCAAGGTACTCCATGTAAGTGGTCATGGGCTGCTTCATCTCGTAGTCAGGCCAAGGGGCCGGGCCGTGGCAGGGCCACTTTGCGCGGACACGGGGCTCAGCAAGATCCAGGTCCTTCGTCACGGTGAAGATCTCAGAATAGTCGGCAATGCCATCCGTGATCTCCTCACCGGAGGCGATGTAGCCGGCATAGCTCTGAGAGTCGACACAAGCAGCCTTCTCGGCGGGAGGCTTGGCGAAGAAAGCTTTGCTGGAAGCAGTGGCCTCGTTGAAGATGGCTTGCTGCTTGTCGTTCATGGAGACTTGAAGGATACCGTCACGGCGCCAGGCATCGACGAGGGCCTTTCCCATGGCAATATCACCTTTGCTGCCGGTGACGCGTTCTGGGAGGGTGAATGTCTCGAGCTGGGCAACTGTCGCCTTGTGGCCTGGTGGCATCGTGGCGGCCATCTTTGCGAGGTTGTTGTCTTGAACTGTTGCCAAGGGCCGGGACTGAGTAAGGGCAGCCGGCTTCCGCGCCCCGCGGGCCAGCTTGCTGAGGGTCTTTGAGATGGCTGACATCTTGGATGGTGGTGGTCCTCAGGTATCTTCGTATGCTCTGTGGGATAAGGTAATTCTATGAATGAAGTGCTTGGTGTGTGATGCTCGACTCGGGCTACTCCTTCCCTCTCTGGTCACCAAGGTCTTTATACCCGGGGGGAGAAGTCCCAGGGCTGGCCGTGATGACCGCCAAGCGGCCTTGGGGTTACAATTCACATGCTGTAGACGCAGTGTTACTGTCTCAGGGCCTTCGGATACAGCTTTAACTTTTCTCGGAATTGACGAGGTATCTTCATTTCTTATACTCAAAGTTAAATCTCTCACGATGTATGGCTTGAAGAGGCGATGTTTTGGGTCTTGCCGAGATTTCAAGCGTGTAAAGACGGGCATTGTGTGCTGTACCAGGTAAAGCAGCCGACGTAGAGAGTCCTTTTAGACGACGATGCTTGGCTAGGTCAGGGTCAG